TTTGCTGGAGCTTCTAACCAAGATAGTTTTTGGTCGTAAACTATATGTTACTATATATTTGGTTATAAAACCACACACATTGTGTGAAGTTTTTCAGTTACAAATGTAGGATTTGACGGCCTTCCGTCCTCCCTCAACCGCATAAGGCCCGGGCGAAACTGGTTGGTAAAGCTACCGTCCTGCTTAATCCTTATGCCGGCGAGACAGCCTGGTTGCCCCCCATTCCAGATTGGAACTAAGGAGTAGAACCGGTTGGCAATTAACAGTAACGCCATTCATTCTTCCTTCCATCAATTCAGTTCTGCATCCATACCCTCATTCACTAATTTTCGGGGTATCGGGACATCCGACGGGATTGGATGTAAAAAGTCTTTTCCCGTCCCATGTCCTGCTGCCCCTATAATGAAATAAAATAAATAAATTAATAAATAAAATAGATAAAAAAAATACTTTTTTATCTATACACTTTGGTTGTTAATTTTAGTATTGTGTTAAATAAATTAATTCCTCTGCAATTTTCCAGGTCCGATTTGTCTCACTTTTTGAAGAGAACTATTAGCACGCTTGATCTCTATTCTTGAGTAATTCTGTTTTGTTCTATTATTTTTATAATTAGTTTTAATGGTTGTTTGGTCAGATCTGGTCCTTCGCATTTTAGGAGTTCGTTCGGTATTCTGTCCTCTACTTTCAATGATTTAATTTTCTTCCGCTTCCTTTACCTGTTCCTCCTCAATATTTATTTCTTCGTTTGTCGTCACCTCTAGTGCTGGAGCGTCACTATCGTCACCTTAACCAATGGAGATCTTAAGTGTATGACTCATCAAACTGATTAGTTTATTAGTCTAAAATCACTGCATTTACTGCTGCCTGCGTTTTTGGAAATATTATAAACATTGACTCCAACCAATCATCTCGTTTTTTCCTTAGTTTTAAGTTTTGTTAAAGAAAGTGTTTAATTAGACAATGTTTTCCTTATCCAAAAGTTTAAGTAGCTCAACAAGGACCTGGTCCAGGTGCTTTATTATCTTTGTCTTGCTGTATTGCTTTTCTTACTTCTGATTTTAGTATACTGGGACATTTATATAGCTGGTTATCATAGGTAGTATGCATATGTGCAGCATTTTTTCGAGAAATATCTTCAAAAAGATTACTATTGTGTCTCTACCATTTTTTGCACTGTTATTTGTGATTACATATTTTAAGATATATTTAAATTTCTTGTGGAGATTGAAGCTGTGAGTTTGTTAATGTTGCGATATGTGTTAATTTTTTTATGTTTCATCAGATCTAGGATTTTCTGTGTCATCCACACATTTTTTGCCAAAATTGTAGATGTTTTCAAATACTTTCTTACTTCCTCTAAAATCGAGTTTTGTATGTTGTACCAACATTCGTTATTAGAAACTGGGATCTAGTAGGTAGAAACAAACTAGGGCAATATAAAGAGATATACAAAGACCTATTAAAAGAACAACAAAAAAATTAGACAGTGATGATAAAGATATAGACGAAATAGATAACATACAGCAACGATGATTACATCAGAAAAAAAAATTTAGCAAAAAAGGATCTGAAAAAGAACAACTATATATCAACAGAAACAAAGAAGAAAAAGAAATCTATAAAATATGTAAAAATCAATAAAACAATCAGCAAAATGATTAAAGAAAATAAGAGAGAAAACAAGAAATAAAAATAGAGGAAGTAATACACAACAACAAAAATATGAAATGCTTAAGACCGAAATTCGATAAGTTTGAAATAAACAAAATGAAAGATGTAAACGGAGTAGAACCAAACATTAAAGATGACATCATAAATATAATCCACCATTTCTACTCAGAATTATATAAAACAAAAAAGGAACCATCAGAAGAAATTAAAAATCAACTTAAAACTAAAATAAAAAATGTCAACTCAGAGCTACAGCCATAAATAAGCAAATCAGAAATAAAGAAGGCATTGAAAGAAACGAAAAACAACAAATTGCCTGGAAAAGAAGGAATAACTGCAGATATGCTAAAATATAGTGAAAAAGTGATAATTAATACTCAACATTCCCTTTTTAACAAAATATTAAAAAAAAGAATCCCAAACAACTGGAAGGAATATGTAACCATTATCCATAACACAATATAGGGGATAAAGCAGATATAAAAAACTACGGTCCTATAACACTCCTCAATGTAATGTATAAATGCCTAACAAAAATTTTAACTAATAGATTGACGGCAAAATTTGACGGATACCAGTCGAAAGAACCTACTGGTTTTAGAAAGGGATTTAGCACAAGTGACCATTTACTAAGTATGAAAATACTTATAGAACGAGCAAATTAATACCACATTCCTCTTAATATGGCGTTTATAGAATTTGAAAAGGCTTTCAACATTGTCAAACATTGGGCAGTGAAAAGTTCTTTGATTAACCGTAGAATTGACCACAGATATACGGAACTAATAACCAATATATATATAAGGAAGCAAAAACAACAATTAAAGTATATGAAGGAACAAAATCAATGCAAATAAATAAAGGCGTGAGACAGGGTGACACAATATCACCGAAACTTTTTAATCAGGCTCTTGAAGATATTTTTAAAAGATTAGAATGGAAAGAAAAAGGTATGAAAATTTGTGGACAACGCTTGAACCATCTAAGATACGCTGATGACATCGTATTCATAACCGATAAACAAGAAGAATTGTTTGAAATGATGAAAGAACTGGACGTAAATGCTGAAAATATAGGCCCAAATATGAATTACAGCAAGAGAAAAATCATAACAAATATAGATGAAGACACCACAATGAGGATCGGACAAGATAAAATAGAACAAGTTTAAGATTCTGGGTCAAACTATAAAACTTAACAAAGAAAACTTATGGTTCTCACTTACGGTTCCCAAACTTGGACATTTCCAAAAACAAACATGGACAAAATCATAAAAACCCAAAGAGCAATAAAAAGACAAAATTTGCACATAATACTAATGGATAAGAAAAAAAAACAAGTGGATAACAAAGAAAACAAAAGTGAGGGATGTTAGACAAGAAGTTCATCATCATCATCATCAATCAGCCCTGAGTTGTGCATTGTTGAACATAGGTCTTCTCTAGATTTTTCCATCTGCTTCTGTTCTGCGCCTCTGCTATCCAATTGGTCACGATTCTTTTGAGGTCGTCGGTCCATCGCGTTGGGGGTCTTCCTCGGCTTCCCTTGTCAGCCCGTGACAAGCAATTTTTTTGTCTCCACTCAAGCAATTTTTTTGTCCAACTGTCGTCTTTCATTCTTGCAACATGTCCAGCCCATCTCCATTTTTGCCTTGTAATATGTTTGATAATGTCTTCAACTCCGGTTTGTCTACGGACTTCCTCGTTTCTTATTCTATCTCTTAAGCTTATTCCAAGCATTGATCTCTCCATCTTTCGTTGTGTCCTTCTCAATTTTTCGGCTGATGTTTTTGTGAGAGTTAAGGTTTCTGCTCCGTATGTGAGGACTGGTAGAACGCACTGGTTAAAAGCTTTTCTTTTTAAATGGATCGGTATCAGTCAATAGACAAGAAAATGCAAAATTGAAATAGAGATTTGCCGGACACAATATAAGACAAATAGAAGTCCGAAGTTCTAGACCGTGGGAATATAAACGAAGCAGAGGAAGGCTCCAAATGAGATAGGCAGATGATATCAAGAAGCACGTGGGCTCTAGGTAGATGACTGTAGAGACAGACAGAGAAGAATTAAAAAGGATTGGGGCCTTTTCCAAGGCCCATGTCCAAATATGTACCGAAAAAGGCTAATTAGATAGATAGATAGACCAACATTCGTCGATGGTTTTGTTTTCGTTTAGTATATTAGTTGGTTATTTTGTATACTTTTATATTTATCTGCTGTAATATGTGTGCATGTGTGATGTGTTTGTATGCAGAGTAAATGATGATTTGAGTTAATATCAGCATCGGGGTTTTTAACATCTTTAATATTGTTTCGAAATCGATGGTTTACTAAGATGTAACCTATTCAGAATCCTTTCTGAACGTTAAAACCACGTATTAGTACGTGGTGTAAAATTAGATTAGATGTTTACCTCTTAGATTTCGCTTTCCAAAGTCAAAGTTTCTGGTAATGTTTTGCGTTATCTGCTGATCAACTTTAGCGTTAAGGTTTCCATAAACATTATTGTTTCGTGTATCGTTGTTATTTTTAGCATTTCTTTTATTTGTTGGTAAACTTTTCTAAATTCTAACTCATCTGCGGCAAGAGCGGAAGCATAAACTTGAATTATATTTATATTTACACGTTTGGCATTTATCTGTATTAACATTACTCTGTTTGATATTGGACTGAAGTAAGTGACATACTTACTAATATGTTCTTTAATAATTATTGATAATCAGCTTCAACGCATATGGTCTTGATTTTCGGAAAACTAAACAGTGTATCCGTTTGCCATGAAATTCTCTATATATATGGCCATCTTGTTTCAATAACCTCCTTGATAACAATATTTAGTTTGTCCATTTCGGAGAGTAGACATCTAAGCTTACCATCTTCATATGTTCATAAGTTACATTATTTGTAGCTGTTCTATATGGTTTCTTTAATTTTTATCTTATGTCTGGATGTTTATTTACAGGGATTTCGCTGGCTAGCGACCTGGAAAGATCTTTGGTTTAATTGTGTACTACTTCCCCTAGCCGTATCAAACAAATCTGGTAATTGTCTCCTAAAAGTGTTGGTATTTAACTGAAGAATTCTTCAACAGCTTAATACAGTAATGAAAATTGAGCTTCCCATTTCTATGTGCTAGTTTTGGTCCAGTATTTCATTTCCTCGGTACCATCCATATCTGAGAAGCATTCCCCTATCCACCACCTGGGGAGGCGCCTGATAATTAATCTAGCAACCACACATAAGTGTATCCGAGAAGCCCTTAAAATAGCATTACAATTTAAACACCTCGAGTTTTTTCATCGATGAAGATCAATGAACTACAATGTTTTTAAATATGTATTTTATATTTTTATTCTAGAATATTTTCAATTACTTACATATTAAACAATAAAACTAAAATTATAAAAACGTAAAGATAAATTAGATTGGTTATTATTTAAAAATCGCTTGATACGAGCGATCTATTTTAATATGTCTATTTAAACAGATTCTTTCTTTAGATCATCACTACAGTTCTTTATAGGATATTTATCTTCTGAACTGCAACTGGAGAGATCATTCCATGGCTGCAACTCACCACTACCCCAAATGCAGAATATAATGGTGGTTACGACGTATACTGCCCCGGTGATCCAAAATACTAGACGCCATTGCAGCAAGGTGTGCTAAAAACATTATTATTTTGTTAGAAAATTCTTTATTAAAATAATTACGTAAAAGCAAAATGATAAAATATAAAATATAAAATTTGGAAAATACAAATTATATAGTATGATCTCTTAAAAACTACAGTATATTCAAAATACACATATATTAGGAATGAACAAAATCACCCTAAGACACGCAAGAAGCCATATGCGTACGGTTTTGCATTCCTATTAAATCATTAAAACTTCGTAGAGTTGCTACGTATTTTAACATGATTGGCTTTTAGTTTGTTACATGTTCAATTAGTGAGCGTTGCTTGTTAATCATTGTAGTTATTTTTTACTCATATTTCCTAAATTGGTTATTAACCAATTGGTAATTTCCTTAATTGTTAACTCCGCCTGTAGTTTTGTTGAATGGATCGAGTAGCTCGACAGAACTGTTGCCGGTACCAAGCCCGGATAAAGAAGGAGGAGGTCTACAGCCAGGTTAGCACCCTACTGATAGACTTTAAAACCATACTGCTCATAGAAACAGGATTATGCCTGCGAACAGGAATGATTTCATTACGACGAATAATGCGAGAAAGAGGACAACGAATTTATGGAAAACGAGAAATATACTTCGCATCGGTACTTGGAATGTAAAGTATTTAAGCACAAGAAAGCAGGAAATTACAAAAGAGCTTGTAAAAAAAATATGAAAATATGTGCACTACAATAGACGAAGTAAAAAGGAAAGGGTCAAATTATGCTAGATGACTATCTGATGATTTACAGTGGTATTGCGAAAGAAACCAGATCCAAAGAAGGTACCAAGTACAAGAATGTAAATATACCTCTGAAAGAATAGTAAGTGTAAAAATTAAACTGGATGTCAAACCTCCGAATGTTATAGCAATCTATGCACCAGAGAACAACAGAGATACCACCACAAGAGAAAACGAACACCTTCAAATAAACAAAGCCCCAAATAATGGATATATAATTATTATGGGTAAGTTTAATGCACACATTGGCAATGATATAGCTCAAGGAATAAAATAGCGATATAACAAAAATATCAGAAATAAAAACGAAGGCCTTGTGACGGACCTCTGCAACATAAATGAGATAAGTATTAATAATACATTTTTCTCTCACAAAGAACAAAGTAAATACACTTTTAAAAACACTAGAGGAGAAAGATCTATAATAGACTATAATCTGTCGAATCGAGAGTTACAGCCCTCTCAAATCTTGGATGTAAGAGCACTAACATCAGCAGAAATAGGAAGCGATCATAAATTGGTATTGTGCAAAATTATAATTAAAACACATATATGTGATAATAAAACACCAGAAAGCACCCCAAAGATAAAAGTCAAAAGCTTACAGGATGACTCCACAACATACCTATTCCAAATAAGAATAACTAAAAAAAGCAGAAATACATCTATCACAGAAAGTGATGGAGTCGAAGAAAGCTGGAAAGAAGTTCTTGGTGAAAGAAATATAAATAAAAATAATTCGTTCCCAAGGCAAAGAACTCCATGGTTTTGTACAAAAGTGAAGAAAAAATGTAAAGAAAAAAAAAGCTTACGTGAAATACATATCAACCAAAACACAAGAGGCATATGATAGTTACAAGACAATTAGAAACGAAACATGCACTTGTAAGAAAAATAAAAAATGATCAATGGGAACGCTTTTCGAAAGAAATGAAACATAATTTTTACGGTCTGCAAAAGAAAATATGGCGCTGCATAAGAAGTCAAAGAAGGGCCAGGCAACACAATAATCATTTAGTAGACATTACCAAATCCTAGGCACCCATGGAGTAACTATTTTACTGTTTTCTTTTCAAAGTTACTGTTATTTAACTGAGTCTAAGATGTTTGACTTAATTTGTCCCCAGCTTTATTGTACACTATTGCTTCCTAGAACATATAGACTTCTAATGCTTTCTGTTATCCTGTTTTAATAGCTACCTTGTTAACTCATCCTGCGGCTTTCAAGTTTTATTTTTGTTGTGTATTTTTTTGTTGTTGTGTGTGTTGTGTTTGTGTATGTGTGTGTATGTGTGTGTGTGTGTGCGTATGTGTGTGTATGTGTTTTTATTTGAATATTACACAATAAGAATTTTTTATTGCTTAACGTATCTGATAATATCAGTACCCTTGATAAAAATAAATATTAATGTTAATAAAATAAACGTAGACACTTACATCTTCAGTCAAAGCGCCTGCCAAATAAGGTACCACACATCCAGTTATAGATCCAATACCATTGACAATGGCCATAAGAATACCAGCATGATTTGGAGCAATATCCAAAGCGTTAACTTTAAAACCGCAGTAGAACGGTCCTGTCAAAAACAGGGATATCGTAAACATACCAACAGTAAGAGCTTTGTCACACCCAGCGTATGAAGCAGCCATGATGAATATACTTGGACCAACGGCAGCTGAAAAATTTAAATTTTATTAAACCCAAAAGATATATATATATATAAAAAAATATTTAGTTCATGTTTTATTTCCATGTTATAAATCGTTTGAATAGGTTCGTATTATACAGTTGTGGTAATCTGAAAACAGCATATAGCACGCATAATTATTGCGACAATAACATTATGAGGTTGTTCTACTAACAGAGAAAGACCGAATCTAGTATGAAATTAGAACCGACCTACAAGATTGTTTTTAACACCCATCAGATTGAATTCTAGTTTTGGCTAAGTGACATTCAGTTTTGATAACGGAAATGTCAAATATACGTTTATTTTTTTTATAAGTAATAATTCTTGTTTTATTCGCAAAAAAACAGAATAAAGAAATTAACATTTTAAGTTATAAAAATGATAACCTTTACAACTGAACATAAAATTTAAATTATTAAATAGCATTATTCTATATCGCCGGCACTACTGAAGTAGTGAAGACGATATAATCGGTAGCTTTTCATTTTCATTCGAAGGCCCTGTACCAACAAAAACTACAATTTACAACATTATTTTTAAATTTGAAAAAACTGGTTATTTCAAGAATTGTAGAAAATGCACGGGTAGTGATAAAGATGAAAATCAATCTGCTCCTGCAATTAACCAGTAACAGGTGATGTCCGATTTTAGGAACATAACAGGTGACGTGGAGTTTCCGGGACTCATCATAAAAATATGCTGGTGATTTATATATGGTCATATATCCTGCTTAATAATTATTTTGTCATATTGTTTATAATAATCTGTTCTTAAGGCAATATCCTATTGCCTTTTTAGTTCTTTCTGTTACTAACTATTCTTATTATTAAAATTTTTGTTAAAAGTTGCAAATAAATAAAGTACGGTGTTACGTCGCAAAACTTATTTTTTTTTAATATTTCTAAATTTAGTATGTACAAATGGTTTTAATATTAGATATAACAAATATTGAATAATCTGTGGTAATAAAAATTATCATCACTAGACTAAACGTAACGGAACGTGCAGGGGGTAAATAAGGACAAAAAGGGATTATTTGTTTATTCTTTTTCGGGCGGGCATGTTTTCGACGTTGAAGTACCTGAGCGTCTTAAAAGTACCCTTGTTTTGGACGCTGCCGGAAGGATTATCGCAGGTACCAGATATTAGATATAATTAGGGTTTAACGATGGTCATTGAGATTTACTTAGTTACTAGTTATTATTTTGTCAGAGAATAGTGAAAAGTGAACATGGAAATTTCAACGTTAGTAAGTAATCGTGGTAAAATTTTGCTCAAAGTGAACAGTTTTACTTTTTCTTAAGATAAAGTACTAAAATCGGGAGAAACGTATTAGGGGTGCGTAAAACGGTCGTGTAAAGCGAAGATATTCACGAAAGGGCCAAAAAAGTTAGTGATCCGAAGTAATCTAGAACATAATAACGAGTGTGATATCAAGACGCTTAATAGACAAATTGTGCGTAGCAGTGCCAAATAGAAGGCTAATGATAATTTGACCGAAAGGCCGTTCAAAATCATACATAGTGCGTTGAAAGAAAATGTAGATTGCTTGAGCCACATGTCTGTTAAAGACGTTAATTTAATACCAAAATCAAATATACAGTGAACGGCGAATGGCTCAACCGAAACTGCCCAAAAGTAAAGAAAAAACTATTGCTGCGGTAAATATTATGAATATCAAAACACTTAAAGATGAGAATTATATATTTGCGGTTGAACTAAGTTCTAACATTATCATCTTCTCGTGTAACACTAACATGCGTTTTCTGTGCGGCAGTGAAACGATTTATATGGACGGTACATTTAGTTACTGTGCTCAATATTTCAAGCAATTTTTTACCATACATGTATTTATCAATGGACATTATATACCATTGTGTTATTGTTTACTTCCCGACAAATCGGAACAAACCTATATAAAACTATTTAATGTTTTGAAACGCAAATGTGAAGTAATTGGTCTAAAATTCAATCCAAAAATTATTTTCTCCTATTTTGAAATTGCTATCCGCAATGCTGCGCGTTTTGAATTTCCAAATGTGCACATTAAAGGGTGCCGTTTCCATCTTATGCAAGCTTGGTATCGTAATATCGGTGGTTGTGGCTTAATTCAGGAATATAAATTGGCAGACAGTGAAATATCTAAATGGCTGAAATATATTTTTGGGCTGCCATTTTTACCTTCCTCAGAAGTCGAAGAATCTTTCATATATGATTTTATGGCTTTTTATTCAACCAAAGGTTTCAAAAATTGAAAAGTTTTCCGACTACTTATTGGACAACTACATTGGCGACCACGCAACATTTCCGTCGGAGATGTGGGCTGCGATGAGTGAGAGTTTACAATTAACAACTAATGCTTGTGAATCGTTCCACTCGCGTTTTAATGATAATTTTTACCACGCTCATCCAAATATTTTCCATTTTATTGATGTTTTAAAAATTTTTCAAACTGAAACTTACATTAAAATTAATAGTGTCTGTAATAGTGAAAGTAATAGCCTTAAAGATCCAAAGAGTAGAAAAAAAAATATGTTCGTAAGAAATAGGATACATGAGTAACAAACTAACTGTATCGATCGATTCCATTTCGTAAAATGTATGTCGTATTTATTTCAAAGTAACAAATAAACCTTATCAAGCTTAATCTCTAGAATTTTATTACCTGACTTTCCATTTACATTTCAATTACACCCAGTGTCCAAATCATGTATGCAGAAACAGGTAATTTTATTTTCCAGTGTCGAATTTTAAATTTAGCGTCCAAATCATGCACGCCCTCTTTTTCAACGTTACAATTTCTGCATATTTTATGAGAAAAAGTCCAGCAAATGGGTTTTTTACAACAAACGCATAAATAAGATGTCTTCCTATGAAGTTTTAATGGGCAAATGTAGCAATGTTTTCGAACTGCTAACCGATCTTCTTGAATAGAAGGAGGTTCAACCTCGCACAGTATTCGCTTTATGTTTTCTCTTATTTCTGTCGAGATTCTGCTGTTATATATTCGTTGTTTTATTTGTGCTTTAATTAAGCTTTTAGCCAGTACCTTCATAAAATCTTTCCTATCTAAGGGTTTGGATTCTCTATAACACTGATACATAACGAAAGCGTTAACTGTACTCATATCTACTATTTTGTAAAATATAGCCATTGGCCAACGTTAAGTTCTTCTGGACGAGCTGTAAACCGTACATTTTTCTATCCAAAGCATCAACGCCGCCTTCGGTTATGTTATACAGACTAATTATTTTTGGTTTTTGTGTTTTTTCATCTACTGCTATACTATGATGCATGGAGGATACTAGTATGACGGTTGTGTTTTTTTTTTAGTAACATACGAAAGAAGGGTAATGTCTTTGGTAAAACCGTATCTAACTGAACCAATCTCTCTATACCTTTGAGAAAGAAACTCAGTCGTCACTAACGTTGAGTCTCGCTGACTCCAATAACGCCTGTTCTCGCAATCGGCTAAACGTCAAATAATCAAACAAAAACGCTTGGTTTATGAACTATTTTTAAAAAGGTACTTCCCACAGGTTGTGACGTAAAGATTCTTCTCGGAGAGTTGTTCTGCTGTGATCTTGCCAAATGTCCTGCCCATCTTAGTCTTCCTATTTTTCTAAGAGATACTACGTTTTTACCACCAAATATATGTTTATATTTGTGATATATCTCGTAGTTGTACCTTCTTCTCCAAACACCATTTTCACAGATGCCACCGATTATTCTTCTCAGGATCCTTAGTTCAGATATAAGCAGGAGTATTTTGTCTGCCTTGGAAATGGTCCATGTAGCCGATCCATATGTCAACACTGGTTGTATACGGGTTTTGTATATGGTTATTTTTGTTTTTTGGCTTAAGTTTCTGCTTCTCATAATATGTATACTCAATCCAAAATAGCATTTGTTTGCTAGGATTATTTTTCGATTGATTTCTTTCGTTATGACGTTCTCCATGGTGATCAGGGAGCATTAGTATGTAAATTTGTCCACCCCTTCAAAGGTAGAGTTATCAACCGTGAATTGGTGACCATTATCTTAGTTATCTCCTCATTTACTTGCAGGCCCACATGTTTTGTGGCATTTGACAAGGTGGTATACATTTCTTCTAGCTTGCGCGTTGTGCGGAAAACTAGGTTAACATTATCTGCATATACCAAAATTTGGGATAATTTATTAAAAACGTTTCCTCTGTTGTCTATTTGGATATCCCTGATCGCCTTTTCCAGAGCTATGTTGAAAAGGAGACACGCCAGCGCATCTTCTTGTCGCAGCCCAACATTTGATTGTTGGCACTGTATTTTGACTTTGCAAACAACTTTACACTTCGTAGCCTTAACCAATCTTATTAGTTTATCGGGGAGGTGGTATTCATCTATGACTTTATATAATTTATTTCTTAGGACACTATCATAGGCCGATTTAAAATCTATGAAAAGATGATATGTGTCGATATTGAATTCATTAGTTTATCCAGTATTTGCCTTAACACAAAGATATGGTCTGTTGTTGATCGACCAGGCCTAAAACGACTTTGTTATTCGCGAAGAAGCTCCTGTGAATAGGCACTCAGGCGTCCATATAAAATACTCGAAAATATTTTGTATGCTGTATTAGGAGGGTTTCCTAGTTTCTACATTCCAATTGGTCACCCTTTTTGTGTAGAAGGCAAACGATCCCAATACACCACTCTTCCGGGATTTGTTCCTCATTCCAGGCTCTCAGTATGATTATATATATATATATATATATATATATATATATATATATATGTATATATAAATATATACATATATATGTATATATATATATATATACATATATATATATATATATATATATATATATATATATATATATATATATATATATATATATGTATATATATAAATATATATATATATATATATATATATATATATATAAATTTATATATATATACATATATATATATATATATATACATATATATATATATATATATATATATATATATATATATATATATATATATATATATATATATATATATATATGATTAGTCAGAGTAGCATCGTCTTATTTAAGTTCCGCGGGTATGCCATCAGTTCCTGGAGATTTATTATTTTTTAGGTGTTTTATTGCATCCCGTACTTCTTGAATTGATGGAGGCTCCAATGGTGTAATTGTTGCTTGCTCCTGGGGGTGGTTGCTTCTACTTCGATAGTAAGTAGTTCTTTATAGTGTTCCACCATTTTTCTCAATACTTCTTCTTTTGCATTGAGTATATGCCCCTCCTTATCCTTACATAGTCCGATCATTGGTTTAAATTCTTTTTTTGCATTATTTAAATTTTTATAGAATTTTCTTGTTTGATTTTCCTTTTTAAATGCCTCAAGTTCTTCCAATATTCTATTCGCTTTTCTAAAATTCGCTTTTTTCTCCGATGAATGTACTTCTCTTCTTTACTGAGATCTTTATATTTTTGTTCTTTTGCTCGGGTTCTTCTTTGCTGCATCAGTTTATATGCATTGTTTTTTTCTTCTTGTAATGTCCTCTCACTCAGCATCGAACCACACATTGCGTGGTGGTGGTCTTTGCGGCTTTAGAATATTATTTGCTGTGTCTTTAATATAATTTTTACACATTTTCCATTGTTCACTAATTGTTAGATTCTCTTTAGTTATGTATTTAGTTTCGATATAGTTTTGAAACCTTTTTACAGTTTGCGGATTTTTGAGTTTAATATTAAGGCGTCTTGTTTTGGTACTTCTCTTCTTCTTCGCATTTTAGATTCTAGCCTGAATTCTTATGCCAACCAGAAAATGATCTAAATTAATATTGGCACCTCGATAGGTGCGGATATCCATAAGGTTGGAGAAGTTTCTAGCATCTCTGATCACATGATCAATTTAGTTGTTCGTTAATCCATCAAAACTTCATTTTCGGACTTTGGCTTTGTTTATAAAAAAATAGTTCCGATCTGATAGTACTTCGACACTTACTTTTTGGTAACTTTCCCCTATGATTTAAAGCTATTAGATGCTTTTAATACATTTTTTGTATGTGTGAAATCCTTAATTTTTTTCTAGACTGGGTTTAAAGCACGCCTTGGCAATGTGTCGTTATCTATTCTTAGTATATGACCAACTCATCTAAGATTTGGGAGAACGCTATTTGAAAAACGAATCTAACATTTTACTTTGAATAATTGGTAAATTTATTATCAACTGAATCTCTATATTCCCATTTTTATTAATCTTATTTTTTTATGAATTTTTAACTTGCCTTGTAAGTAAAAGAATATTATGTTGACTTACCTAGTGTTGTGAAGATTTTTCTTGCAAGTGTAACCTTTATGTACCCCTTAGCTATCATCCAATCACACAATTTTCCAGAACTTAAAGAGCACACCCACATCACGATGTATGGTAGGGAATTCCACAATCCGTTATCTTTAATATTAAATTTCAATACCTCACTCATATAAGTTGGCAATTCTGTTAAGATTGTAAAAAATCCCCAATCGTGACCGGCTTGAGCAGCTACCAACGCCCACACTGGTGCAGATGTCAACATTGCCTTCCACGGTGTATTGGGTTTCTTTGTTGAAATTCCCTCTAAAAGAATTATAAAATAAAAGAATGTAAAAATAGAATACTTAATTTAAAAATTTTACTTAGATACTAAACTTCTCGCTGGTTGGGCTCATATTTATTAAGGTCCACGTAACAATAATGTTTGCAGTATATTCGAAGCATATATATATATATATATATATATATATATATATATATAATATATATATATATATATATATTTAGTAGGTATATGTGTAGCACAAGCATAGCATGTACCATAAAAAACATTCGACAATTCATATTCTTTGCATATTCTTCAATGAATATTTTAGGACCGAATTCTTCTTCTTAGTCGTTAATTTGATGCAGGTATCGTGATATCATGAAGCTATTAGCTAATTTTTCCAATGTTCCTCCACGTTTTTCTATCTTCTGCCATTCTAGCACATTCTGACAATGGAGCGCCAATGGTAGCAACAATATGGTCCGTGTATGGTGTGAGAGATCTACCTCTATTTCTTTTGCCTTTTACTTTTCCCTGGATGGTAAGTTTTTCAAGACCATTTCTTCAAAGCACATGTCCAACATAGCTTATTATTTGTTCTGATATTTGTGTTCTTAGTCTTTTCTGATGATTAGCTGTTCCAATATGGATTCATTTGTTCTTCGGGCCACGCATGGTATTTTCAGCATTCGTCTCCAGCAGTACATCTCAAATACATCTATGTTCTTTTTGTCTTTCTCAGTAAGGGTCCATCATTCATTCCGATGCGTAAGTAAAAACTGGAAAAACTAGACTTCTTACTAGTCTCATTTTTGTATCGGTATAGGACCGAATATACTGATTATATTCGTGTATTAAGTAATCCCGGAATATTCCTAAAAGTTTATTTTTAAAACATACAGTTATTTTCTTTAAAAGTTCATGCCTATCTCAGATTTGTGAGTCTTCCAGTTATTGATAAAAGTTTACATTAGATAGCTAATAGTATTTTTAAAATATCCTAAAAATATACCTATAATATATATATATATATATATATATATATATATATATATATATATATATATATATATAAAGCACGTGGTGTTCGTGTGTATTAAGGTATAAAAACGCTTATTAAAAGCTTAAATTTTTTATTATAAAGAAGATCTTTTCGGAATTGTATCATTCCATCATCAGTTTACTAAAAGAGAGAGTAAAAATACCAATATTAAAAACAACAAAGTTAAAATTTGAACATACAAAAAGAGAAAGTTGGTTTTTTACTACTTACATAAAAAAGGTTGTTAAAAACATTGTGTGGCCACATAAAAAACATTCGGTGGACATCTGGATTTAAAAATTAATATTCTTCGTGTTATTTATGCAGGTAAATGCAATAGACTCTTGACTTGTGTAATATAAAAAATGAAACTGGGGGCATCTTATATGACCCCCTGTAGTTGGTGAAGTTTTATTGACTTACATTACCTCTGATCTGTGTTGGAGTCTAGGGCTAACTGATAGAAAGATGGTATGAAAAATCAGTTAGTACCCGTCAATGTCAAGAGGAATGATGTGCTAGGAGCAAAGTCATTGTGCTTAAGTTTGTGAGTAGGCAGTTTTTAGTGAAGAAATGTGTTTTGTGTGTAGTAAGATCATAAGTAATTTTTGGTATTTTAAAAAACTGATGGGAGAATATAAATCAATGCGTGACTATGATGCAAAATAAATCGGTATACCGAGGTAGGGAAAAAAAATTTTATGTAATTTAAGTGGTTAAAATTAATAAATCATTTTAAATGGGGTGAAAAGGATGTTATTACCTAATTGTATCGTTGTATTAAATGAGTATATATAAAAGATGGATTATAATTTATGGAAGATGAGTCGAGGAAAAGAAAAAGAAATAAACGAGAAAGTAAGAAAAGGAAATAGAAAGTGAATGTGACGATGTAAGCTGGGGAAATTGAAACTGATTGTGATAAGAGGTAGAAGGATGTAAAATGAATATTTATAAGATAATGTGTATGATTGTATGTGTATGATTAAATGAATATATATAAAAGTAGGATTGTAATTTATGGAAGATGATTAGAGGAAAGAACAAGAAAAAAGAAATTAACGAGAAAGCAAGAAAAGGAAATAGAAGGTGAATATAGCGATGTAAACTGGGGATATTAAAACTGATTGTGAAAAGAGAATAATAGATGTAAAATGAATAATTATAAAAATTGTGTATGATAAGTGATGGTAGTTATTGGAGAGGATGGGTGGTTGGATATTGGCAAAGGGGTGATGTTAGTGTATTAATGGTGACAAGTATAGAGTTAAGTATGAATGATTATGTAAGTTGAAATTTAGCTATGGGAAATAAAAAGAAATGTAGAAGTGAAGTAAAATTGGATGGGTAGTTAAAAGAGAGAAAGTTAGTTTAGGAGAATAATTGTCGATGAAGTGGGACGAAGTCTCTGTTGATGCTGGTGTGACGATTAACACAATTGGGACTATTTTTCTTTTCCTTGACTATTTCCAAATCCTCAAAAAGGTCGAGTTTGAGATAATCTCTACCAGGGATGTTATGAAGAAGAGAGATATCATCTGGTACCTTGATTGTGTGGTTGTGATATTTAAGGTGATGTGAAAAAGAAGAAGTGTTCTCTAACTTAGAATGTTCAATGGCCCTGGTTACTAAAGATCTACAAGTTCTACCGATGTAAGTGGCATCACAGTCAGAACACTGAAGTTTATAAACTCCACTACGTTTAGTGAAGTCAATAGGGTCCTTACTATTGCATAATGATCTACTCAATTTATTGTTGACTTTAAAGGAAATCTTAATATTTTCAACAGAATTCAGGATAGTGTTTTTTATTGATTCAGAGAGTGTTGGACAGTGAAATGGTAATGAGAAATAAGATGGGGAATCTAATGTAATGTTAGGGTATGCTGATTGTTGAAGCAATTTACGTTTCTTTTTATAAATGAGTTTGTGGATTATATCAGGGTTGTAGCCATTGTTGAAAGCAATCTGTTTGATAATGTTTAGTTCTTGGTTGTAGTTAATTTTGGATAATGGGATGGTTTCTAAACGATGAATAAAACTGTTGAATGCAGAATGTTGAATGTTCTTGTTGAACGTAAATTGTTTACCCATTTTTATTAGGACAATTAGAAACTACAGCACAGGTATTGAATAACAGATATGTGTATGTTTCATAATACTTTTGATACAAATCTAACCCTAAAGACTAAGCATTTTTACAAAAACATCATCGTTGCCCTAATAACCGATATTGTTATAAATATAGTAAACACACAGACAATTTAGTTCAGCATAATATTAGTTCGTAATTCATCATAGTCTATTGATTCGAGATCTAATTATAGTAATTCATAAGCTGTAACGTAATCATGTAAATAAGAAGTGTCATCGATAGGATATTCCGTGTCTATATAAGTAACCAATGAACGAAATACATCGCAGTTTAATTAATAATAATAATACATAATAGGTATACCATAAGATTTGGATATGTATCCAAGAGAACAACATATTCATACATTATACATTATAACCACCACGTAGCCCTGAATTTAATCTGCTTGATTTTGGTATATGGGGCGCATTAAAATAACGTGTCTATAAGAATCCCATAAACATTCGCAACCAAATATGGAAAGAAATAAATACTGCAGCAGTTTCTTTAGAACCTATGATGCTATTTAGTATAAGACGATCTTTTATGGAATATACCTATTGACAAATAAATTAAAGAAAATTGTGGATATATCGAACACTTACTTTGACAAAAAGTTCTGTTATTAGTTTAACTATTTCTTAATTTTGTTTATAAACAAAATGTTTCGATTATGACTTTAATTTAAAATAAAACGTAAAATGTTTTATGTAAAATCCTATTATTCTGTCATTTTGTCAAATCCTATTATTTTATTCTGCTGATATATTTATTTTATTTAATATTTTATACCAAAATTCAGAAGTATTGATGTTTTTGTCTATTTATCTATCGTTGCCCTGACTAATTGCCTTAAATAAGAATTATGTTTTGAATTAATTATTAGGTATACCTTTTTTTGTTAAAATAATGTATCTTTAATATTTTTATCACAAATAAGGGTAGCTCAAAGAGCAAAAAAATTAAGTGCAAATTTATGCCACATATGTGGTCCTCTATCAGCTACATCAAAGTGTGTATCAAAATTATAATTTCTCATATTTAAAAGTACCCAGTTGTATATTTTTATACATAAATGTTTACCAACATGAAAGTTATAGCGAAAAATAACATTTTAAATTTGTACTTTAACACCCTGTATCTTTCTTGATATCAACATCTTTTTAAAGCAATTTGGCTTAAATCGTAATATTTTAAAGTGTAGAATCTACTGTTTCTTTTTGTACAATTACATAAGGACCACCCTGTATATAAACGGCGTTATTTTTAGAATAATTAATAAAATTAATGTATGTAGGTACTGATAGATTTGTCTCTTAGAATTGTTTGAACTGTATAATAGTCTTATTTTAAAAACTAATTGTATTATGGAAAAAGACACAATCTTCGTTAGCGTAATTGAAATAAATTAAGTTTAGCAGCTATTTTCACTAGATCGTATTATAAGCACATAATAGAAAACACAGCAGATTAATTTTGACTTGTACTGATTATAACCTCAAAAATCATTATTTTATTAACGAATCAGTTTATTCATGCCGCCGAACTAATTATGTAAAAAATATTTATTCTAAATTATCCTTACTGAGAAGTTATTTTTTAATGATAAGTGATGAATTCGACAGATAAGTTGATGGAAATTTATTTCATAAACCAATAAAATATTACATAGGTCAAACTGGTAGAAATTTTAACAAACGTATAGCAGAACATAAAAGGGCCTCCAATAATAGAAAATCAGATTCTACATACGCACTTCACCTTCTAGATCATAATCCTATATACTAAAACGCTATGCCCTTTTCTTGTCCACCACTTTACTCAAAACCATATTAGATAATTAAAATATTTTTTCAGAATATTATTAGTATTACGTATGAGATTGCCAAGATATACTTTTGGTACAAAAATTCACTTCCGGTTTTGAGATGACCGGAAGTTAAAATTTACTTTAAGTTTTAGACCCCACAATGTATATATGGATCGAAAGGTCTCGTCGAGACGAATCTAAATATGTACTTCCGGTTGCAATCCAACACCGGAAGTAACCCGAAACGCGCATAAAACGTCAAGATAGAGTAAATCTGACACCGAATTCGTGATCAGCATGCAAATTTAACTGCTAAATGATATGCATGTCGACATTTGATGAACTAAAAATTGCATTCCGGTTTTGAGGTCGACTTCCGGTTTCGTTTTTATTAAAAAGTAAAAAGTAAAAGTTTACATAACTCCCGGTGCCAAGCAAAAGTTTTCAGAAAATGGAGTCATTGTAACAAAAAACATTGTTTTCGACGAAATATTTCGTGATATTTAATACACTTTTTACTTGCATTATTATTGATGAATGTTATGTATATTCTTGCTTATGTTGTTTGTATTGATCTCTTAATTTTTCTCGCAAAATAAAAATTTCATTTAAAAAACTCGATGTCGAGTTGGTCCGCTAGTCACTCTTTTAATGACGAATTTCAAATTCTTCCCCAAAATAACGGCTTTAAGCTATCTTTATTAGAATATATGGAATTTAACAAATTAAAAAAATACAGACATAATTCTGAATAACCAACTTGAAAGAAACAGTTCTTTCTTAAACATATTCAGGTAAAGACTACAAAGTGTGTAAACACATACCAAAAATAGATCACTTGAGAAAAGCACTCTGCCAAAACAGCTCTAGTGATAAGATATTATAATAAATGTGAAAGTTTTGATAACAAGACGCATATTTTACATTTTAAAGAAGATGACTTAAAAATGATATTGCCAATATTGATGAGTTGCATTACTGGGACGACTTTATTGTAAGATAGCTCATTTGATTACATGAAATTAAATTTGACTTAAGAATATCCGTCAGAAAAATCGCAGCATATGATTTGTCTTAAAATTAACAACCACATGCAATGACGTTCGGTACTCTATAAAAATGAGGTGTTCTCTAGTTCTATCTTGTCACATCTACTTAACGTTCAATCAATGAAAAATTATATATGTCGAGTCTTTCAGTTTTTCTTTAGTCCCACCTCAAACTAATCAGACATGAGATAAATTAATGAGGATGATCCATGAGTTTTAATAATTGGAAACAACTTATTATTAACTTATTATTAAAACAAAAATAAATACCTATTTCCTTTTTAAGATAGTTTTTTTCCTTTTCTCCAATGAATGGGTGTTGTTGCGGTGAGGAATAACAAAGAATCTGCCACAATATATACCATATAATACCTAATCCTCCAAAAAGATAAAAGACCGACGCCCATGATTTTGTAACGTGTATTAACGCACCACATATGGCACTACAAATAATTGTACCTAAAATAAGTTTTATATATATTATACAGACACTGTTTCAAACAAATTATTTTTGTATATACAATAAAGAGAGTATAAAAAAAAGAATAAGTAAGCTACCTAATTGTAAAATTATACAAACATTTTGCTCTAATGATAATTAAATTTCCAAATATCCAAAAAATATTTTAATGGCCTATACCTGTACTGATTTCTAAGCTTACAGTTAAATTTTTCATCTCTGGTATTTGGTAATATGTTTCAAAATCTTATTACTAACAAGATAAAAGCTATTCCAAAGTCGTCTCTCTGAAGGAAATTGGCAAACAAAATGGCAAAGTTTGGTAATTTTTGGTTTTATTTTTGTTTTTCAACATTTTATATACTTTTCAGTAAATTCGGTTTTTAGTTCAGTCAAAACAAGAGTAGTATTTTTCAAAAACTGATATACTGAAACTGATGACAAATAAGGCCCACAAAAATGTACATCTGTACTACTATGTACGACTGTATATAGTAGTACTACTATGTGTAATACTATATATTATGGACTTGTCAGTAACAAAACTATTTTTGTATGTTGACTAAATAAATTCTATTATATTTTATTTTATGTAAAAATATACATGGCTCGAAAGAAATAAGCTGTACATCCCATATATCTACACAATATATGCCATTCAATATTCGCTTGTCCTTTGCTTCACATCTCCCTCATAATTTTCCATCTCTTTCGATCTTGGGCCTGTTGTATCAAATTTTTATAGCAACGTTTTATATCGTTAGTCCAACGTGTTTATGGACGACCTCTACTTCGATATGTATCATCTCTTGGTCTCGAATCCAGTATTCGCTTTGTTTATTTGTTATCCGTCAATCGTGCCATGTCCTGCCCAGTTTCTCTTCAGTGTTGCTATTCTCTCTGCAGGATCAGCCACTTCTGCTGTCTGGCATCTTCGTCTTAGCTGGTGGTTTAGCACAGTTTATTGCCCTTTAAGCCACACGATTCGACATTTTGTCAACGCTTTCAACATTTTTTGTTAAGTTATGGTGTCAAAGGCCTTTTAACAATGCACAAATATTAAAACTAGTGGTTTATTATATTCAGTACACTTTTCTATAAGATTTGTTTTTACGAATAGAAGATCCTTTGTTCCGTAGCCTTTTCTAAAATCCAGTTGTTCTATGGGCTGATAAAATTCCACTTTATTTTCCAATCGTTTCGTAATTATTTTTGTAAATAGTTTATAAATATGGGAAAGTAGACATATATGCCTGTAGTTTCTAAGGTCGGTAGCATCACCTTTTTTATGAAGTAGGATAATTTCTGCGTTGTGCCACCAAATTAGTGTTACTGCTTCCTGCAGACGTCTAGTGAATAGTTTGGCAAGGATCTGCCATAATATTTTTCCAGTCACTTTCAAGGTTTTTGCCACTTTATCATCGCCTCCAAAAGACTTTGTTTTATTTATTGTACTGACCTTAGAACTTCCTTGCGTGTAAAAAATTTCAAATTTGTGATTAATTATCTTTGTTAACGATCCGCTCCAAATAGATCGCTGTTCTTTGTTTATCTAGTGTGCTATAAAAACTCTGTATAGTTTTTATATCAGACATGTTCTGTGTGAGTACTTTCAAGCTTTTGTTTTCTTCTATTACTCTAGCTATTGCATCGTATTGTATCGTTTCAGATCTTTTCTGACTTCATTTTTTATTTTCTTGTTTAAGATTCCTAGTTTATTTTTGTTCTGATCCTGATTTCTTGTTTCCTCTAGAAGATGTTTTGTACTGTGGCTAAATTTTTTTGTTTTTGCTTTCAGCGCGAGAACTGTATTTATTTTTAGCTTCTTTAAATGTTTGAATAATAATGTTTGAATAAATTTTTCATTTCATCGATGCTGATATTATCTAAGTCATGTGTAGTTAAACTAGTTTTCTTTATAAAGTGTTGTATCTTCTGGGAACATCCATCTTCTACTCTTCCTTTTGAGGATCATTTTCATTCTTTCAACCTGAATGTGGTTTTTGCTCTATTTAATTTATGGTCACTCTTTATTTTATTCTAAAATTTATTCAATACCGTAACATCCTGAACTATATATTTTTAATCTGATATTATGAAATAAATCTCATTTTTTATTCTTTGGTTCTGGCCCTTCCATATCCACTTACGTTGAAGTTTTCCTCTAAAGAATACAATACTTTGCAAGTACTATCCAGTCATCTCCAAAACATAATGTGTAGATCGTTGTATTATTGAGAAGGACAACCATATTTTACATTTTTTTGAATTTTCAAAGTATTTTTTAAATATACTTTAAAAAGCACCGGTGACAAACATTATATTTGCTTTACTCTATTGTTTTTTTTGGCTTTTATAAGGATATAATTTATGTTTATTTTAAAAGTTTCCCAAAGTTCATCTTCCCATCCTTTTATCCCTTATTTGAGAAATAAAGAATAAATGATCTATTTGCTTTCTTTAAAAAAAAAACTCCGCATGTAAACATTAATTTAGAAACTTGTCTACAATTGCGGTCTTTTTCATCTTGATTAATATTAGCAGTTCTCAGTTTTTTCTTCTAAAGTTTGACATTTATGATAAGATCTACCAAGCATATTTTTAGCTTACGTCGGTATTATAATGCATATTTTGAATGCCTCAAAGCGGAAACTAGTTCCTAGCAAGGTTTTCATCTTAAGCAAAGATGCTCTCGCAATGCTTAACCTTGTTCTTATTTCCAGGTCTGATTTAAATGTCTTGGTCTAATTTTGGCACTTTGTACTATGTAATTGAAAAATATAAGAAATCTGAAAAAATCTACATTATATAATTGGTAAACTAATATCCCTTATATAGAACTACTCTGTATAAAACAAATAAAATTTTTTTTACATACCCATTTGACTCCCACCAAAGACCAAGGTACCAATTGTTGCTCTTTCTTTTAATGGAACCCATTTGGCAAGAAGTGAATTAATTGCTGGATTACTAGTACCCTAAAAAATCATAAATAAATTTTTAAACATACCTTAGTATATAAAAAATTATTTATTATTATATATAAATAATAGTATCTAAACATTCTAGTTTCACTTTAAAGACTTTTTGACTAAAAATGCTCTATAAAAAGCAGTTTTGAGACTCGTATGTGAATTGTGCATTCACCATTTTTTAAATAAAGGAATTCACCAAAATTTAAAAATTAGAAAAAACGGTCCTGAAATGATTTTCAAAATATTTTTTGTGAAATTAAACCAAAATTGTCAATAAGTGTGAGAGACCGTTTTATGGTCTAAATATTGGACAATATCACTATATATCCCCATATACAAAAAGTGAGCAAAAGACTTATCTAGCAACTATCGCACAATTGCTTTCATTATGCACTGCAGCAAGATACTTTTACATAATTCTAGAGATACTTCTTTACATATCTGTACTTCATAGAATATAGTAAAACCTTCGAGTTGGCTGAAACAGTAGGGTTACTATCGCCCAGATGTGCTGGTTACATAACCATTCTCGCTAGCTCCGAAGTTGAAATGATTCATCTACTGCAATGGATTGAAGAATTAAGATTACCAGTGGGTCTTAAAATAAACAAAGACAAAACAAGTATCAGAATAATTGACAGATCTAACAACAATCAAAATAGTCTAAGTATACTAAGCAATATCGCTGTTGTAGATAAATTTGTGTATCTGGGAACTTTAATAACAAACAACTGGGAATGCACTGAAGAAATAAAGCGCCGGTCAGCAATTATATATAGCCGGGTTCTATAACAAAATTAATAAATATGAATAGATAAATGATTTAAAAATACCATGGATAGAGAATACCAAAGAACAAGTTAATCTTTACTGAATCAGCTAAACATAAAAAAGAATAAGGATACAAATATCGGAACAAACAATAGGATAATTGTTTCGAAGAAATGGTCTTGAAAAACTTACCACCCAGAAAAAGGTATCCCACAATACACTGACAATCGCCATCTTGTTGCTAGTATTGACGCTTTACTGACAGAATGTGCTATAATGGCAGAAGATAGAAAAAGGGGAACATTTGAATAATCTGCTAATATTTTTATATAGTTAATCAGCTTAGGTTGCATATATGAATAATATATATTACACATACCTGCCCAAATCCAATAAAAATTCTTGTAATCATCAATATTTTCCAGTTACCATCAGTGGCAGTGAGAATCCATGGTGTTAAGACGGTCATTACTGCCCCTATTAAAATTCCGATACCTAAAGTATGTTTACCACCCCATTTTTCAGCTAACACTCCACCAGGTAAATGAGTAACTATGTAGCCGTAGAAAAATGAACTAAGAATTAGCCCTTTTGTACTTTCGCTCCAGTCATATACTGGATCGGTTATCTGAAAATAACAAAAAATATATTTTTTCATAAATTAAGAATTGATGAAGCAAGAATGTTCTAAGATTTTCTTATGTTGAGAGAACTAATAGCCTTAGGTTATATAATTATCGCACAAGATTAATGTTAAGGTAAATTTATTTCAAATCGAAGGACAGTTACTACAACTTAATTATAATTATGTTTTTATTAAACATAGGCTGAATTTTTTGTAAACAGTACTTACGTGAGTTGTTGTATCATTACCACTTGAACTTCCTTCATCTCCGGGACATGAATTGGGATCGACATGTGTGGCCGCTTGTTGGAGCGTCATTTGTGTAATGGCAATATTCATCACAACCCTCATCGCGTATGTGTTAGTGGTTGCGAAGAAACCCATAACTCCAAGGACATATCTTTGAGGTATGACGTCCACTAAAAATATAGATAAAAGATTAGCACTATTTGGACTATCATGCAATTTCTATACCTATAAAACACAAAAATCAATTTCGTGTTAACAAATCTTTCGTATTAGTTATTTTCTAATTAGTCGGGATAAATTAGGTCCGGCGCATCATTTAAGTGAAGAAAACTTAAAAGTTTTCTTTAAACAAATTTTTGTTTTTAGAAAATAAAGTCGATTTATTGATATCTGTGTATGTATGGAAATTAAAATTTTAATATGGTGGCCTCTTCCATCAATTGGTGCAAGACCTGTTAATTTCAACAAATGTTGAATATTCTCAACTTTTTTAAAGTAACGTATACTGCTAAGACAAATGTGTAAAAAACTTTAGTTTTTTTAAACACATTATCCTAGGCTTGGACAAAAACACGATTCCTGTATGTAGCTATTTTGGGTCTCTTATCATCCATCTCTATCTTTCTTGAACTGTAACGCTAAATTTGGGCCACAGCAATAAGGAAAGTTAAAAACGAATTCAGTTAATTATGACAATTAAACGAATTTACCTTTTTAAGAAATAATCTCTCCATGCACTTCAACCTTTTGCATTGACGAAATTCGTTTGATCATAACCGAATTATCTTAAGCACATCTCTCATTCGGCACATCTAAGCTTTTCTTTTTAAAGGTTTCATAGCCGATACTTAAGGAAAATACACGAAAATACTACTACGTCTTACAGCATAAACTACATGTACGGAGGTAAACAAGAAATGGTAAGCACAGAAGAACGAGGTTTCCGCGACAGGTTAGCGTGCACCTACTTGGAAATTCCCCATACTTGCAGCTCAAAATATTCCTTCCCAAGATATTTCTTCTTTTAACCAAACAAGCAGGTGTTTTGAAATTGCAAAACTTGTGACAATCATTTTTCCAGTCTTCATAAGATCACGTTTCGCAATACTACATGGGAAAAGCTAACAGCTGGCGTTAAAATCTCAAAACCATAATTTCTCTTCATCCATATAATTTTAAGAGTTTCAGCAAGTTTTTATCAATACGGCAATGTTTGTAAGTAAATTAAAAAGTATTATACTTGTAATCACATTTAAAAATCAAAGTCGTAAAAATAATACATCACAAAATGATCACTTTTTTTTGACAAAGCCATTCTTTTCATGCACTTATTCCAGGTTAATGTTCAGTTCTGATATGTATGCAATAATAAAATACCGTTAGATAGCACATTTTTATCAACAGATATTTTTCTATATTTCTACAAATAAGTTTCCTAACGTCACCTATTATCTTTTTTTGTAATCTTGAAAACATATAAACATGTTCTATTTCCTAACAAAAAAATCTAAGTAAAAGAATAATTATGTATTTTAAAAATAAAAAAAAAAGAAATAAATATATATAATATATTTGTATACGTATAATTAATACGTAATATATTTATATTTATATTTACATATGAAGAGTGTAGACGGGCCATACACGAACGAAATGAAGCTCACAAGAAATATATGGAAAGGCGAACCAGAGAAAGAAGAACATTTTTCGGGGAGCTACGACGCAGGGCGGATAAAATATGTCGAGGAGAAAAAAGAAAATGGGGAAATAATAAGATACAGAAAATGGAACAAAACCTCCAAAGCAACGATCTAAGGGAGGCATATAAATATCTTCGACAACTAAGAGAAGGATACAAACCCAGAACCCAGAAGTCTGTGCAGAAACCAAACAGATAAGATAATTAGTGAACCAACGCAAATAAAATCAGTTTGGAAAAGCCATTTCCAAGCTCTGCTAGGAGCACAACGAAGCTCACGATCTTCGGATTTGCGGCACATCGAGGAAGGAGACGAAGAAATAAGCAGCCCGACTCTTAAAGAAGTCAAACAAGCAATACAGGCGCAAAGAAACAACAAAGCGCCGGGATTTGACGATGTCCCTTCCGAACTGTATAAATTAGGTGGCGAACATCTAACAACGCAGGTGCACGCGCTCATATCTAAGGTATGGAGGGAAGAAAAAATTCCTAGCGATTGGAAAAATGGGATTATCTGCCCAATCTACAAAAAAGGGGACAAACTTAAATGCGAAAATTACCGCGGCATAACCCTCCTATGTTCGGCCTACAAAATTTTTACATCCATCCTGAATAGGCGACTTCAACCAATATGTCAAAATATTATCGGCGAATACCAGACCGGTTTTCGACAAGGCAGGTCGACAATAGATCAGCTTTTTACAGTAAAGCAAATCCTTAATAAAGCTTGGGAACACGATATTGATGTTCACAATATATTTGTCGACTTCAAACAGGCTTATGACTCCATAAATAGAAGCCGGTTATATAATATCATGGAAAGATTCAATATTCCCTCGAAATATATCCGACTAGTAAAAGCAACGATGGACTTCACAATAGCAACTGTGCGCATACAGTACGAATTAACTGACAGCTTCGAAATAGTTCAAGGGCTGAAACAAGGTGATAGACTATCTCCAACACTGTTCAATCTGGCCCTTGAATATGTCATCAGAAAGCTGAATGTCGGAAGAGCCAATCTCCTAACAAACAAATCTGTCCAGCTCGCCGCATATGCGGATGACATTAACCTCATGTCCCGCAGAGTGGATGATGCAGCAGAAACATATTCGCAGCTGAAAAAAAACGGCCAAGGAGATTGGACTTAAAATAAATACACAGAAGACAAAAATACTAACACAGACGCGGACAAAGCGAACAAGAAATCAAATCAAAGTAGAGGATGACATTGAAACAGTGAAGAGTTTTACTTATCTGGAAGTCGAAATGAATACGGAGGGAACAGAAGAGGCCGAAATTCAGAAGAGAATAATGAAGGGAAATAAAGCCTATTTTTCCCTGATTAACATATTCCGCTCCAAGACGGTACATCGAAAATCGAAACTTAAGGTCTATAAAACTATCATCAGACCGATAGTATGCTATGGATGCGAGACATGGGTTTTGACAGAAAGCAGTAAACGAAGATTAGAGGTTTTCGAGAGAAAAATCCTAAGGAAGATCTTTGGACCCATCACTCAAAATGGGATGTGGAGATCTAGATATAACCATGAACTCTACCAACTGTTCAAAGAAGCACCTATTGCAGAGTTTGCTAGAGTACAAAGGCTTCGATGGGCTGGTCATGTGGTACGGATGGAAGCCGACAGATTGCCGAGAAAGTCCTTGGATGGTAAAATGCAGGGCAGAAGACCAAAGGGAAGACCACGTAATAGATGGGAGAACGAAGTCACAGCAGATGCGCACAACTTATTGAACGTCAGGGCTTGGAGACGAGTGGCGCGGGATCGCCTTTGTTGGAGGCAGAAGTTACAGGAGGCCAAGGCTCAATTTGGGCTGTAGCGCCATTGGAAGAAGAAGAAGATATTTATATACATATATAGAATATATACTATATACTATATATATATATATATATATATGTCGCAGCCAGATGGTTAAATTAGCCGTTCGATTAAACAGCTAGCCCTTTCATGAATAACTCCATTCAATCACACGACTAGTTATTTTGTCGAATTTTTATGCAAATAAAAAATTTATCGTTTAAAAGTGATTCAACACATTGTTTACAATATGGTGGCTACAACTATTGTTCTTGACGCTGAGTCTTGGCCTGCTTAACAATGTTCTTCCATTCCGCCCAATGACACTTTCCTTCACCACTGCCTGATGTTCATGGTTTTAAGATCCATCTCTACGTCGTCTCCTTCGTCTTGGGACTTCCATCTCTGGACTACTTTTACAAACGGTTGTAAGTTAAAATAATAAAAAAGGAATCAGAATAAGTCCTATTATCCACGACCTATTGTTTCTCAAGATTTTAATATTCGAGGACAGGTTGACTACATTGATTTTTAATCTTGTGTTGATGGCAAATACAAATGGCTGCTCATTTACTAAGATAATGCTACAAAATTGCGGAACATCCTCCCACTGAAAACGAAAATGGCAAATGACGTAGCAATGAAACTTATGAAAATATTTTTGATTTTTGGTGCTCCATATATTTTTCAATCTGATAATGGACAGGAGTTTACGTAAAAGTGGTAGAAGAAGGCCACCATAACAAATGAAGAATGGACCAACAACCAGGAGATTGGAGCACGCATTGCAAAAGCTAAATCCTCCTTCAATCGCATAAGAGTCTTCTTCAAGAGTCACAACTTTTCTCTTGATACAAAAGTAAGAATGCTGCCACGCTACGTCTTCTCTGTCCTTTTTTATAGTATTGAATCGTGGACCTTGATCGAAGATATGTGCAGAAAACTGGAAGCATTTGAGATGTGGCTATATCGAAGAATGCTTAAGATCCCGTGGACTGACCTAGTCACAAATGAGGAGGTCCACAGAAGGTAGAACCAAGAGGTACTGACTTTCATCAACTCTCGAAAGTTACAGTTCTTCGAATATATTATGCGAAATAAATCCAGATATGCTCTCCTTAAAGTTATCTTACAAGGGAAAATATTTGGAAAACGAAGTCCAGGAAGAACAAGAATATCATTTTTCTTTTTATATAGACATGACTCTGTCTGTTTATCAATATGCCTCCAGTAAGTTGTCGTTCTTTTTCGTGGTCCTTGTTCTTGATATTCTCCACCTACTTCTAGCTCTGTCCCATAGTGTCTTACCATCAATTTTTCCAAGTGTTTTCATCTCTGCTGTTTCTAACATCGTTTTTGTCCTCTCTGTACCAGGTCTTATATTTCATTATAGGTCTGATGTCTGTTTTGTAAATTCTGCCTTTTTATTTCTCAATATTGTTCCATTTAGGCAAACTGTGGCTTTACTTGCTCTAGTCATTTGATCTTCCATTTCAGTTTTGAGCTTTCCGTAGCTAGATAATGTGATGCCTAGATACTTAAACTCCATCACTTGTTCTATTATCTTACCTTCCAGCTCCAATTTACATCTTAGTGAATTTTCTGTTGTAACCATGCATTTTGTCTTTTTTGGGGAAATTAACACGTAAAATTTTCTGGGGGTTATATTAAATTGATGCAGCATACGTTGTAAATCATCTTTACTTTGAGAGAGTAGTATTGCGTCGTCTGCATAGCAGATTATTTTAAGTTGTTTTTCTCCCATTTGGTATCCTTTTTTAGTTCTTACTTTTTTTATTATTTTATCCATAATCAGGTTGAACAATAGAGGACTCAGGGAATCTCCCTGTCTTGCCCCATTGCCAGCTTCAATAGGGTCGGTTAGTTCTTCTTCTACTTTTACTTTTATTGTGTTGTTTATTATTATGTGTAAATTATTCTAGGATGTAACTATATATTTTATAATACCTTACAAGTATTTAGCTTATGCAATCCAGCGTGTAACAGCTGCAGCAGGTCATCGCTAATATTGATATAACAATCTCAAATAAAAAGGATTATAAAGCCATAAAAGCTGCTACATATTCATTAAGCAAGAATTATAACTCCAATATATTATAAAATAGCGTACTAAGTTCAGTCATTGTATTCTAATTACCGCAAGTCAAGTACGTAATTATCTATACTCATAGAGATTAATATCGAGTCTATATTTGTTTAAATAAGTTTCGGTTAAATTAGAGTAATATACGCACATGATAATTTTCTAATTCGTAAGAATACATTAAAATAATTTTATAAGATTGTAAGTGTGAGTCTGGTTGAATGTGGCCAAAGTCAAATTTTTAGCTCCAAACACAGAGGTTAGTTACCTGCTATACAGAATACTGAGGCAGTCAATTTTCAACAGCACATCGAGGAGTCAACATGAAATGTCGGAGTATATTGAACTCAATCTTAACTGACACATACTAGTAAATCGATACGTCCTCCTTTAAATTACTATTTAAATGGGAATAAGATACTAAAATAATTTAAATAGTAATTACTTTAAAATGCCATAAGAAAATATCTTCAGAACAATAATACCATACTGTGTCAAATTACCAAAAATAGGGAAAAAGTTTTTCAAAATAAAAAAATTTTCCCTGCTCCTGGTACCAATATTGTACCGCATTTTATCGCAGGTCGTTATTTTTGTATTACCGACCTTATATTGTATTACCGAAGTTATAAAAGACGTACAAAAATGTTTGGTCAAAAAAAACTTACCCCTTAAGTGATAAGTTTCTCTTTTTATTTTATGAACCGATAAAGGGCCGTCCGGTGTAAATAAAAAGAAAATGGGGCTTTCTCAAAAATTATCAAAATATGAGCGCAAGCGTCCTCTAAAAGATAATGAATTGTGACATTTTTTTGATTTTGAAGAGGAGAATGAATATATGTCTGCAGGATCCAGCGGCGAAGAATATTCAGACAACAATGATGAGTAGTGTATTGATGACGATTATGAATTGAAACATTTTACAGAAGAATTAGCAAATAAAATAACTCCGTAAGTTAAAATGCCCGGTGCTACTACAAGTAGGTACTTCTGGTAGAAATTCTCCTACGTGGGTACATATAGAAGAATTACAAAAACTTCTAATTTCGGAGCCGTCGATCATTCTTGGTAAACCTCGACAGTAACAATCCAATTGATTTTTTTTTACATTTCTACTTGATAAACATTTGCTGGAACTGATTGTTACAAATACTAACAAAAATGCAGTAGCCAGCTTTCTCTTTGAAAACACAAAACAGAAGTCTCGTATTACCTCTACTATCTGACTGTGCAAAAATTGAAAACTTTTATTGGATTATTGTTTACACATACCATTTAGTTTTGAAATGACATGGTTTTGCAATACAATTTTTTCAATTTTTTTAGGTATGATACAGCTTCCATAATTGTCGGACTACTGGTCTGCACACAGGTTGTTCAAAACTAATTTTTCGAAGTACATGTCCAAAAACAGATTTTTAATAATGATGCGATGCCTTCATTTTGCACCAAACGATATTAATAATCAAGATCTTCTTCTTCTTCAGTGCCTTATCCGATCCGGATGTTGGCGATCATCAAGGCTATCATGGTTTTGTTGACTGCTCTGCGAAACAGCTTCGCTGAGCTCATTCCAAACCATTGTCGGAGATTTTTCAACCACGAGATACGACGGCGTCCTGGTCCTCTTTTCAAAATCGTTCACGCAAAATATGTCCTGTTGTAGATAATTTCTATATCAAAATAAAATTAATTCACACTCCTGGTAAATCCCTTTCTTAAGATGAATCCATGTCTATGAGAGGAAGACTTATATTCCGGCAATATATACAAAATAAACGTCACGAGTATGGTATTAAACTGTACATGTTGACAGAACCCGATGGATTGGTTCACAATTTTATCGTTTACAGTGGAGCAGGGGATTAAACTAGTGGTACTGGTCACAAAGAAAAAGTGGTATTAAAGTTGTTAGAGGAGAAATACAATCTTGGACATTCGGTATTTATGGACAGGTTTTAAAATAGCTATGAATTTTGGCGAAAACTAGTTACAAAAGGAACCTATTGTACAGGAACATTACACAGAAATATAAAAAGTAATCCAGTGCCTGTTGTATAAAAAAGATTACAAAAATGAGAGAATAAAACCATATTTCACAACGGAGTTCACGTGGGCAAGTGGAAGAACAAAGGAGAAGTATTATGCTTAACTACAGAATTTGATAATACAATGACTGAAACCACCAATAAACGAGGTCAAGCAAAGTTGAAACCCAAAGCCATTTATGAATCATACAAACATATGTCCGGCATTGAAGTCAAGACCAAATGCTTGCATATTATTCGTGCTCTCGAAAAACTTTGCGTTGGTATCATAAATTGTTTATTTATATACTGGAAATAGTGTTACGAAATTCACTAATTTTATGCAATTATTATACCGGACAATTTTGGAGAAAATGTTGCCAGAGGGTGGTGTTGAAAATAAAAGTAAAATTTACCTTGGAGAGCAGAAATTGGAAAAAATAGAAAAAACAATTGAAGCAAATTACAGTACAGGAGATACTTCAAAATAGGTAAAACGAGTCCTAAGGAAGGAGTGCCTAGTATGCAGTAGGCAAAATAAAAGAAAAGCAACTATTTATATTTGCAACGCTTGCACTGGATTATCTGGTTTTTGTGTCGAGTGTTTTTTTAAATATCATTCGCCATAAGTGATTTAACTGTTGTATTTTTTGTTTTTTAATGCCATATCGCCAAAAATTACTGTAAATTTACTAGGGAATTACGTTAAAAGGTCATGAGAACAGAAAACTAAAACAATTGAAAACAAATTAAGAGTCATTAAAAATAGATAAGAAAAATGAATACAAAAACAAGATGGATAAACATTGTCAGAACAGAATACTGTCACTTAGAAATCTCGGTTTATTATGATGGTGGTAATAAAACTTAAGTATTACCACGATCATACTAATAAAAAGTCGTATATCGTACGCAATAATCAATTAATTTACTTTTTAGGAATTAAAAAATCATGTAGAGACACAAATACTTTAAAAAGTGTTCATACACTTACATATTTTATTAGTCATTTTGCTTCTTGTAGTTCAGTTTTGATCACTAACTAATTTCTAACTTTGATCACTAACTCTTTTACGTATTGAAATGTAAGGTTTAATCTCAGTTTATCTGCAATGTTTTGTAGTACAAAAACGACTGAATTTATTATTACCTAACTTTTTATTATATTTTTAGGGAGATGAGTATTGATATGATATTGTATACTAATTATTATCGGTAAAAAATATACTTAACAATTGTAGTTTTTCTGATTTGATAAGCAGTCCCTAAGTGGTGTAGATGTAATCTACTTGCAAGTTTATTATTGTGTTCTATATGTGTTCTTATATATTCTAAGAGCTAATTAATATTAATTAAAAATTAAATTTTGAAAGAAATTGTTTATCGAGTAATATTGGAAGGCTTTTGCTGTTTAATAAAGTACGTTAACGTTGCTTATGGCTGGTTATGTTTATTTAGGGCTGCTGGTTTCAAATGCAGTGACAGGAACTTCTCTTAATAATGTTATAGTGATATCTAATACAATATTATTACTTATTTATAAAGATTATTTTAATTTTAATGCCGTCATCCAATTTTAGCCATATAGATCACACTTCCTCTTTTTTATTTGTTTTAAAAGTACAATCTGTTACATATAAACAAGTAACACTAAGCATTTTTGTTGAACCAGCCTATGCTAGCAAGAGTTTTAGTCCAATGACTATTAACTCCTCGTGAGTGTATTGCTAATAACGTTTACATTTACGTTTGGCAACGTTTACACTGTATTATACAGGGTGGTGAATCGTCAAACTAGCCATAGGAAACTCAATGGGAAATTCTAAATTGTTGAATTCCCGCTTTCCTAATTATTTTACACCAAAAGTCATGGGAAACTATTTGTAGAGGACTCAAATATGTATCGAAAACAACTGTTAAAATTGTTCTACGACTTAAAAGTATTCCAAAATTTTGCTAAAATATAATACATTTTTCAGGCCACCCCCAAAAGTCAGGCCAGACGCCGTGAAAAAATGTGTATTACGTGTTGCGTTTTGTCATATAGATGTTTCTAATATTTGACAATATTTAAATCAACTATAGTTTATTTTTATGAACGAGAGAGTAATTAGCATAATTTTAACTGGTAGCTCCGACCACTCCATGGGCGTGCTCAAGATTAATTGAAAAATTACTTTGAATAATTGTAAAAAATAAATGAATTATTTCAGTGTTATAAAGTGTTATGTGTATGTAAACAAAAGTGACCTCTTTTATCACACACTATATTAGAACTGACTGGCCTACATTAAAAAGGGTTTAAAAAATTCACATTTTTTTTAATTTTTAAAAATTACAAAAGAGAAAAAGAGTTTTTAAAACCGTCTAAGGTATGTTAAATAGATGAATAAAAATATTAATATAAAACTTACAGCTACTTGTTACAAATCCAAATCAGATTCAGAAGATGAACTTTCAGAACCAAGATTTATAATAACTGGCTCGATCATTTTATCAGTAATATTGTCCAGCTTCCTCATTCTTTCCTCTTCTTTAATAGTGTGATTTACTGCCTGTTCCCAGTTTTCAGGTTTTACATTATTTACGGCCTCCAAAAACAACTGTTTAACATCATGAATTTTAAAAGTGGTATTTTTTCTTGAAACTTCACTCTTTATCTGTGCCCATACCAGTTCAATCGGGTTTAATTCACAATGATATGGTGGGGATCTAAGTACTGTCATTCCACGATTTTTGGCAATTTAATCAATTTCGTATTTTTTAAATTTTTCTTTATGAAGGGCACACAACAAATAAAGTTCCTTTCTTATAGATCCGGGATGGTACGTAATATTTTTTGAACTCAGCCAATTCTGCAAGTCTTTTTTTAACCACTTGGTTGTGGGCAGTCCTTCTATAAGTCTGGAGTGATAACTTGCATTATCCATTACTATTACACAGTTCTTAGGAAGAAGATCTATCATTTGTTCGAACCATTCTTGAAAGACATCAGCGTTCATGTCTTCATGGTAGTCACCGGTACGAGTTGATTCAAAAGTTAATAAACCACCTTCAACGAAACCGTCTGAACTGCCAATGTGTACTATTATCAGCCTGCGTCCCTTTCCTGATGGTGGGTTTAAACCAGTAGATAAGTTATTTACAAAAGCGTGCCTTTGACTTGTAACAGTTTCATCCTGCCAAAATTTATTTGGTGTATGACCCTCGTTGATTCATGTTTCATCAAGATAAAATATTTTTCTTTTTTGGTTTCTCATTTCCTTTAGGGTTCTTATAAAATGTCTTCTCCATATGACAATATCGCTTCTTTCTAATAAAATAGACTTTCTGGGATTCTTTTTCCAGCGGAAGCCTATTTCTTTTAAAAGTTTCCATAACGTACTTCGACTCATTTCTAAGTCATCCTTATCATCTCGAACTGAGACAAGAACTTTGTCCAATGTTGGAAATTCTTGTCTAAAGAAGAATTCATGCACTTTCCGTCGAAGTCCTTCTTTAAAGTGATATTCTATTTGAAATTTTGGTTTCCCTGGAGGATTACGTGGCATTTGAAAACTACCACATTTCTCTTCTTTAATAACTCTGTAAATCGTAGATTTCCCAACACCAAGTGTACTGCTAACTAACTCAACGGTCTCATCAACACTTTCACATAAACGTTTGTCTGTAAATGATTTAAAACAATTAAATATTAATGTTTTTTCATTAACTGTTAAAGGACCAATTTTTCGGCGTTTACACGGCACTTCCAAATTTTCCATAACACTAGTATACACAATAAACTGCACCTTGCAACTGAAGTACCTACTTTTAGCGAACTGTTAAGAATTTTGAATACGCCACTTGGACCTTCCTACAAAATGGAAAAACCCACTATCACATTTTCTGTGGAATAAGTTTAGAAGGTAAGTAGATTCCTGGAATTAAAGAATTAAATGTTTGATTGTTGAAACCCTTACTTCGTGGAATGCACTCATTTTAGATAAAATAAAACGTTTTATTTTATCTAAAGAATTAAACTTTATTTTGCAAATAGGTAGGTACTATTAAACTTTTATTGGTTATATATAACCAATAAAATAAACATCTTACATTTCTTCCAAATTCATTAGTACCTGTTAACCTCTATCACTCCGACACTGGGAACCTTATTCAGGGATTAGTAACCCTCACAACTATTGTATTCTATTCTGCTCCAACCTTTATACCTGGTGGTCATACTCAATTTAAAATTGTTTTCCTATTTACTTCTGTAAACTTGTTGACAAACATCTGTTTTTCATTGAGTCACCCGTATCAACAGTTTAGGAATTTGCATACATAATTTATTGTTTTATTACTCTCTCATACATAAAAATACATTATAGATTATATTTATTCATGATTTAAATGGCCAAAATTTTGTGATTTATTGTTTAAAAAAATTAAATTGATTAAAAAATGTACTGAGTTGAGGAGAAAAGAGCAATAATAAAAATGTTTTATTCATGTTTTATTATAACATTTGTTATAGTTTTATGTTTAGAAATTATCATATACCTATTATTATTAGGAATAAAGATCACAGTAACAGTATATTGGAATTCATTGAATTGTTGTTTAACTTAGCATGGCATTAAATTTTAGTGTATTAGAATATCTTACGTTAAATAAAGATCCGGTAGTGACAGGAAAAGGTTCGCGCTATTACCTGAATACAACATTATACGATTTTTCGTCAACTGAGTACATTTCATTATATTGATCGATTTGTAAACAATATAATTTATTGTTCACAAAGTAATATTGTTCCGTAGTAGTAGTATTTAGTAAATTCATTGTTTATAATTTAATCATAAAACAAAAAAAATTGACAATTCAAATTGTCAAACATCTGACATCAATATGATAAAACACATACGTCATAATATATATTCTTGCATTACGTGTGGCCTAACGTTTATGGGTGGCCTGAAAAAAGTATTATATTTTTGCAAAATTTTGAAGTACATTTGATTCGTAGAACGGTTTTAACATTTGTTTTTATTTCAGATTTTAGTCCTCTACAAATAGTTTTTTATGACTTTTATCTAAAATAATTAGGGAAGCAGCAATTCAACAATTTAAAATTTCCCATTGAGTTTCCTATGGCCCGATTAACGATTCACCACCCGGTATGCATTTTTTATGGAGTGCTTCAGAGCACACTTCAGCATATCGATGGCGTAGAGTGAAACCCCTTGTATCTCAATTTTTATATAAAAAAATTATTATGTTATTCCAATAAATACCTCGTAAGTTATTAGTGGAATAAATATGGCTACTCTATCTTAAGATCGGTGACATCTAGTGACGTTAATGTAAACCACGTAACCATTTTGTAAAATTTAAATAAAACGAAAACATTGTATGTAACGACGTGGTAATTGTTTTGTTTAAATCTTTGAACATCGGTTTATATAATGTAAGTTTTTTGTTTATGTAATTAAAAACGAGTAACTGCATGACACTTGTTTCATAATTTTATATTATGCAGTCTCTTGATAAAATAGTTTTGGTATAAAAACATGTTTTTTGTTAAACTCTCTAAAAACCACGTATGAACCTCTTATTCCATAATGAAGGTTACATCCCACGGACGTTTAGTGTTTGATATACGAGTATTTCATGCATGGTATTCTACGATGTTCCGTATTATAATACAACGTTACATTATTTAATTTCAGGTCATCTAGAGGAAAATCTATAGTGCAGCTAGCTTTAGCACAAAGTGAATCGTCAGAAGATGTACTTAGTGAAAGAGATAATATCATACCCTCTACGTCTACAGGTGTTTGTAGGGTTTCTCCAATGGAGTTGCTGGAAGATAACGATGACTCTGATGCTGATCCACTATTCTACCCAGAAGAGGAGACAGAATCGGAGTCTGAACCTGATGCAGAAAGACAAAATTTATCAAATAAAACACCTTTACCAATAATGACTAATACGAAGGCAAAACGAGCAAAACAAGGACGAGCAAGTAAAGACAACTGGACTTCGGAGAAACAAAGATTACAAAGAAATAAGGGAGTAGAATATTTTGGTAGACAAAAAACAGAACAAGGACAAATTGTTTTTCATGTACCTAGGGCTTCTAGACAATTGAAACCTCGATGTAACCACACAATTTCTGCAT